TCACAAACAATTTTTGGCTTGAAAGAATGTTTGGTTAATGGCAGGGAAATCTACTTGGACTAGCAAGAGGAGACAAAGAAGGGAAAAAGAAAGCCCAAGTATGTGTATGGTATCCATGAAAACACTTTCAATGCATAAGACATGATAATTCAATATTCAAATTATGGTTATAGTAAATAGAGACTGAATTCAGATCATACAAGCTTCATCAAGACAAGAGTATCATGCAAAGAATTCCAAATGTGGTTCAAACTTTAATTCAAACTTCAATTCAAACTAGACCATAACATCAAAGAACTAACAACTTAGGCAATGAAGTGATTTCAAAAATTAACATCTCTCAAAGGCAAACATCATGCTCAAAATTTCTAATTAATGAAACCTCAATGCAAATGCAACTAGATGCAATCCTAAAATGCAATATGCAACTAGATGATCACTCAAAACTTTTGTAAAAATTTAGAAAAAGTTTCAAAATTTTCACATTTTTGCAAGTATGAGAAATATGCAAGAGATGAATGTCAAAATTTGAAAGACAACTGTTAGTATCACACCCTCCCTCCACACTTAAATTACACAGTCCCTGTGTAATCCAATGTGTAATGAAAGTGCAAGAGGAGCCAATATCCAACAAGCAATTCAAAAAAGTAAGAGGAGAAGAGAAGAAGCAAAATGCAAAAGTTTTGGAGTATACCTCAAGGTCTTATAATGGAGGAGGAGTGAAATTGTATTAAAGAATGGCTTGGAATGATGAATGGTGAAGAAGAAAGTCTGTACTCCCTTGAAACCAGCAGTGTGCACCATATTGAGCAAGATCAAGGAGTCATATCGACCAAAACATCTGATATCCAGCTTGATGTAACTTTTGGGGTTCTTGCAGCGCCTTTGCACAAATTTCAGTATTTCTTGATCCACTGCACCAAATGATACGAGACCAGATGCATACGAGACCTAACTCAATTTTCCATCACTTTCATGAAGACATCCGGGGCTGAATCGAGACGCAAACCCGTCGTCCAGGTTGATCTCCAAGTCGGTCAAAATGAATCGGTCAATACTGCAGATGGATATGTGCTTACTTTGTTCGCCATAACTCTTCAACCACCGATGGGAATGGCTCGAAACCAACACCCGACGAAAGATAACTCACAGGGCTACAATGTTGATGAAGGACGCCGAGGCCAAATCGGAATGGAAACACCTCATCCGAGCTGATCTTCAGTCGATATGGTCTTTATGGGTTTACATCGATAAGTTACAACAGTCAAGGTTGATCGTTGTAAATCCCATCAGTCTGGGCAGTGACCGATGTGGTGACCAAAATTCATCCGCTGGGTTTATGTCGATCACTTCTGACCGATGCTGGTGATCGATGTGCTCGTATCGGTCACCTTATGATCGATGCTGGTGACCGAAAATCTAGTATCGGTCACCCCTTGACCGATATCCTGCCCGAAATGGGTTGAGCGGTTTCACGAAAACTGCTGTAACTTTCTAACCTCTGATGGGAATGACCTGAAACAAACTTCAGACGCAAGCTAACCCACATGGCTACAACATTGATGAAGATTGTTGAAGCTGAATCGGAGTGTAGATTCTTTTTCCGAGCCGGTTTTGTCAGATGAAGTTTCTGGCCACTTCAACAAGGTGCACCTACTTCTTGGTTCTGGTGTAATCGCCATTGAGAGAGTAGCTTGGTGCATAGACAGGCAATAAGACCGAGCAGAAATATCTGGTTTGTACTCAGTATGTTGCTTACCAATTTTTCTTGGCCATAATCAGTGCACTAGCTCAATGAATAAGTTGTTGTAGCTTCTTGGCATTGTCCATCTTGTGTTGAACCATTTGATCCATCTTAGAACCCTGAAACACTAAACAAAAGAAACCAAAAGAAAAAAGAGCATATATAGACAAGGGATAAACATAGAACTACCTTCCAAGTGTGCTTGTTTATAATCACTAAACTTGAATCTTAGCAAGTGAAACTCAAAGATGAGAGTGCAATGGAACTAATGTTCCTCCTCCAATCATCAAAACACAAAAAACATAAAGAAAATAGCCTAGTTTAAGCAAGTAATCAAACTCAAATGCCTTAGACACAATGAACCGGCAATGGTGCCAATTGATGTTTAGGTTTTTAAGCCTTAACTCAATCCTCAAACACACATATCATTGTAGTACTTGAGGTGTCAATCCAATCCAAAGGTTAAGGAACAGATGAGATGCAGAAAACTTGCTAAGCTAGGCCAAATAAAGCGAGAGAATTGAACTCTAACAACCTAAGATGAACAAGAAGGAAATCTAACAACCTAAGGATGAACAAGAAGAAAGCAAAACACAAAAGGTGAAAATCAAGCAAAGCAACCAAAATAAAGGAAAAACATAGCAAATTCAGAACAGAGCTTAAAACAGAGAAAAAATAGGACTTGAGATGAGATAATTGGTAATAGGGAACTCTTGACTCAGCCTATGATGCTTACAAACTTACACAATGCTATTCCTTATGCATAGGATTCATTTATATGACTAATACAATCTCTTTGTACTAATCTCATTGCTAATTACCAAGTCAAGAACTAATTCTCATTAGTGAAATGATAAAGAGCAAGCATTAAGACAAATCTATCAACCCTATATTGCCAAATCACTCCCTAGACAGTCAATCTCTTGAGCTAGGATAAGCAATTCTCTTGCAAAGCAGTTCAGGCATTTCATCAAACACTTGGTGGGCATAAAATGAGCATAAGATGTTAATAAACTTAGTTAGGGCTAATTAAGCATTAAACACAGCAATCAAGAAAGAAAATAGAAGAACTAACACTAAGTAATCATAGATAGAGTCTTAAATTCCCTAAACCTAACCCATCTCAAATCCATAAAAAAAAAATGCAAACTAGAAACAGAGATACAAGACCATTGAATAACAAGGTGAATCTAAAAACATGATCAAGGTGAAAGAAACAATCTATGCATTAATCTCTAGGCAAGGACTACTGATATAGACTAATCCAATCTCTTGGCATTAATCTATTTTCTAATCACATATTCAAGATAAATCTCTTTACTCAAACACATATTCATCAAGCATTAAGGTCAAAGTCCATAGAGCCAAAAAGCATGCTAGACATCTAGTTTTCTATGCTAGGTTTACTAATCTCTTGTGCAATAAAACTAACATTAACTCACACTCTCATGCATAATCAATGTCTAAAGAACAATTTCTCATCAATGTGGTTTTAAGTACTTAAGCACAAGCTCTGCAAGACATGACATCAAACCATAACTTCATTCAAGCATTTCAGCAAACACTTTAAGTTTAATACTAGAAAGCCTAAGATCTACTTATCCTACAAAGAGGTACTAAGCATGAAGAACAGTCACACAAGAAGAGATAATCAATGATCCAACATTATAACACCTTAAACAATTACTAGAAACACTTTTGTTCTTCAAAAACCAAGAATCTCAAAACTCAAGGATAGAAATTCGAAAATACTAAGGCATAATAAATAAAAAGGCAAGACTAGAAGATGAAATACTTAAGATTAAAAGATGAAAGACATAAATAGAAAGTATATACAATGATCCAATCTCAACCCACAAATGATTTGTTCTTGTTCTATGAAAAGCTAAAGCAAAGCTTTGGGGAAGAGAAAGGATCAGAGAAAATAGATCTAGGTTTAGCTATTTATAGGGAATATCCCCAACATAGCCCTAGGAAGCAAAAATAAAAAAAGTCAAAGATGGTCAAAAATTGTTCTCGGACCAAAACCTATCGATCTGAAGGAAGGAGGTTGGAGATCGATGTGGTGATCGATAGGAACTTCTGGTTGCGGACAGTGATGCTTGAACCGCCGTATCTTTTGAACTACTGATCGGATTGACATGATTCAACCTCTGTTGGAAAGTTTATTCGATCTTCTACAACTTCTATGAAGGACGTGGAGGCTGAATCGCACCGGAAGACCTTCTTTTTGACCCATACATGTCATATCGATCTGCATATAGGACAGATTTCTCTCAGCTTTGGTCGATACAAGACTTTGGTGCAGCCTAAAACCCGTCATCTTGGCTGTTATTTTTGGTTCTTCATGTCATTATCATTCACCATTCTCCAAATGTCTTCTTTGCTCTATTTAGACCTGAAAAAGACTCCAAACAATGCAAAACATGCAAATGTCTAACCTCAAACCTATTATGTCTAATATGAATGCAAATGTGACAAAATATGATGAATGAATGCATAAAAGAAACCAAAAATTAAACTAAATGCAAGCTAAAACATGGTAAATTATAAGGATATTACTCTGCTACCAAATGTAGAATTACTATTAGTGATTTCAATCATGAAATCTATCCTTAATGATCTAGATTTGATTTAATCCAACCCTAACAGTTTCTTAAAGAAGAAGAAAGCAAGCACTAACCTTGATCCATGATCTTTGGACTTGTTATGAGATCAATACTTCAATTGATTTTCTCCTTCTTTTGACCTTTCTCTTTCACGGCTTCTTTTGATGGAGAAGGAACCAAAATGTCTTTCTTATCTCTTTAGTGTTTTTCTGTCACGTCACGTTAATTGTAAGAACAAAAGGTGTAGCCTTTTATACTTGTCAATAGTTGTGATTGTTCATCACAAATATCAACCAACACAACTTCTCGTTAAGTGATTGTGTTTTATATATTACAGAAAGACATTCATACAAATCATAAGGTAAAGAAGGAGAGTTATCAATACACCCAAATTCTAATGTCTTTAATCGAAACTGATCGTCTTTTATATTAGAATAACTTTAATATGAACTTAATCTTTATTATTAAACTGAAAGATACATAGGTCATACATAAGAATATGAATATTCTTACAAGAAACAGTAGAGGAGATGGAGAAACTAGAAGAAAGAAGAAGAAGACGACGAAGCGAAGAGATGAGAGATAGAGAGAGGCATGTGGCCAGTCGAAGTGATAGAGAAAAGAGAGAGAGACAATGAGAGAGCAATGGGGATTTGTGGTTTTTGTGCCCTTTCTATGAGTTTTAAGTTCTTTATTAATGTAATAAATACATTCATAACTTTTAGCTAGTTAATTTGGCTGCGAATGTGACTTCTCATCTAGAGGTTTCGTTCATGTCCTGATTGCGTTTTCATAAAACTCCATAATGTTGTTTAATTATGACTGCTAAAGTTAAAAGGAAACACAGATTAAAAAGTCAAGACTTATTCTCGGAAAACACAAAACGGCTGTGGTAAGAGGTATCTTGGTGGCTTAATTCCTCGCACGACCTAGGAATGAAACTTCAGCACCAAATGGGATTCTTGCAGCCCACGTCAGGAAGAAGAAGCAAAGATACAAGTGCAGAACAAGGTTCTTAGTGGTTTAATTTGTCGCAGGAACGAGGAAAGAAACTTCAGCAGCAAATGGGTTTCTTGCAGTGCACGTCAGGGAGAAGAAGCAGAGATACATTGGTTTTCATGACACAAGTGCAGAACAAGATTTTGGCTGAAAAGTTAAGCTTTCTCTCTCTCTTTTGTAACAGCATACCCTTATCAGATCCGGGTTTCTGATAAATGTGAAAGATTAAAACTTGATACGAGAGGGAAAGTGAGATTTTACAATTTATACACCATGAACATAATGCTTACGACAGGCTTCAAGCTTCTTGGATGAAGTAACTAACCTTTTTTCAAGTTGATGCTTCAGCAGGAGAGGAGAGTTTTCCAAGGACAACAACGGAATCACCAATTCCGATTGTTTTTCCCATTCCATTGCCGAACCAATCTTTCCAAACCATGTTCTGCCCAAAGTATATCTGCATCATCATCATCATTTTCAAATCTTATCATTCAAAACTCTCAGATTCATCCGAACAAATAGTCTTTTTACCTTTCCCTGTGGTTTCTTTTTTGGTTGTAAAACTTTGTCTGACCTGAAATTCCTCAGAGTCTCAATAGGTTCTTGACCTCCAATCCCAGTTTCTTGATTTATCGTTGGTACCTGAAACAAATCAATAAGCTTACCTTGAAATAACAAAACAAAAGATTCATGGAGTAATTAAAGAGCTTTTTTTATATACCTTGCAACGGGAGCATAACTTCACACCGTGAAAGGTGAAACTGTTTATAAGGATCTCTGTCCATAAGTCTTCAGCGAATGGCTCACAACCATCAACAAAGATGCTGTCATATTTCACCAGTAACAGTTATCAAGTGATGTCAATAATAGCTTTTAAGAGAAATTAGAGACACCAAAGCAATCTCTACTTTTATTACAGATGCAAGAAACCATCAATCTAAACAGAGAGGAGAAAGTTTTGATCTTTAGTGTTCAAATCAACAGATTCAGGACTTTCCTTTGAACATACTTGGGTCTAAACCGGTTGATCGGTACAGGCTCCTTGAGAAGCTTATTCAGGGAATCAAGAGAGCCCTATATGAGACTATTTTCAGAGCATATTGAAAAAGAAAAAAAAATGATCCTTGTTTTCTTTTCATGGTGACTCACTTGTGATATAAGCAAGAATGGGTACATATCTGAGAACATCGCATAGTGACCTTGAGCATAGTTCAGATCCACAGGTCTAGTCTCAGAGGCTGCAAATTAAACACCAAACACGTGACCTCATTCGTAAACTTCCAATGCTACAGTTTGTTTTAATGTATATGAAACCTGAATCAAAACGAACAAGACGACAAGGCTTCCCAACAAAGTTTGAAAACCACTGAGATGCTTCTTCTCCTTCATCTAGCGCCGAGCCAGACCACTCCCAAACCGAGACACCGTGTGCTATTTTGTCTGGTTTAGCTAATGAGATCTTAAGGGCATCCATACCAGGAGCTCTAACCACTGAAACACACAGCTAAAAGATGAGTTACAAAAAGACTATCAAGGCATGTTGAAGAAGAAGACACATCAAAAAATCAATCTGACCCATGTTAGAGCACTTCTCGGGCTCCCAGTTTTCTGCAAACGCATGTTTAGGCATCTCTACTTCAATCAAAGCAAGCTTTGGTTCAACTCTTTGAGTCAATCCTCGTCCTTCAGAGTTCACAATCAACCAGTTTCGATCCCATCGAAATCCTGAGCAAACCAAACCCCAAAAATTCACTTAGCTTCTCTCTACTTTCTCCAAAACAAATCACTCAAACCTCATGAGTTCTCAAGATAACAACAGAAACTGTTATGAATCATTCACATTTCTAGTATTAAGACACTTTTGGGGCAAATCATTTTTTTTTTTCAAATAAGAACTTCGAGAGTCACACTCAAGACTACTTAGAACACCCACAATTTTCATTTCAATTAAATGATCGAGAAATCATCAAGAACAGATCAACAAGAGCAGGGAGTTTCTCTAATTGATGAACCCTTAAAGTCGGAATAAGCTAAGGTTTCGTTCAAAAACAGAAACAGCTCAAACATCAATCCCCGAAAGGAAACAATCGAAATCAAAACCCAGAAAATAGATTTAAAAAAAAAAAGAGAAATTTTAATCGGAAATGGAAGTAGTGTCTCTAATTATACCGGTGGGAGTGAGAGGTGCTTGAGACAAAGAAATGCATCTACATGATTTGATCGGATAAACAAACAGAGACGATACTCTTGCATCGATTTCACCTGCCGGCGACGGCGACGGCGATTGAGACAAAACATTTTCCATCTCTCGCTCTCTCTCTCTCTCGCGGATCAACTGCGTTCTGCTTCCGACGAACATATCTTAACAGAATGTCACATATGCCCCCTAAATTTTCAGATTATCAGATTAAGCCTCCAACTTTGGTTTATTGAAAACATAGACCTTTACACTTATAACCAAATTCCCAACCAATTTAACCTGTTATTTACAAATTTCCTTTTAAAATCCAACCCTTTTAAAAAAAAAAAATTAATGCATATATGTACAACAATGAAAAGATTAGAGGAAAAGTGGAATTGACCCAAAAATAAGTCTTATTTTAGGGGAAAAAATAAATTATATTTTCCTATTTAATTTGATGAAACTATTTATTAAATCGGTTATTTTTGGGTGAGTATTTTTAAAAAAAAAATTTAAAAATAAAAGGAAAGGAGATATACATTTCTAAAATGAGACACTTAGAAACTCTTAGGTATCATAAGTGACACTTGTTGAACGATAAATAGTTAAGAAATTAAAATAATTAAAATTTAATTTAACTATAAACTTTTATTAAAATAGTAATATTCTTTTATCTAAATACCCTCTTTGAGATATATTACTGATGAGCATGCTCTAAAGATCTGATTTTTATAAACCACAATCGATCCAACCAAAAAACCATTTTTATTGCATTTTTAATTGAAATCCAAACTAAAAATTAAGACGATACAACCGGTTTTAGTGAGAATCAATGATAAGAAAACCAGAGCTCCATTCCGGCTTTATAACGCCGATCACCTAGATTTCGAATGCTTGTTTGTGCATCTGTTTGTCAATTCAGAAGGCTACCTCAAGAAGAGTAGTAGAAGTAGTAGGAGGTGTCTTTTATGGTTCATTTCTCTCCAAATTGAATGCACAGTAGGTTGAAATATATTGTAACACAAAAAAGATATTTTGACTTGTGATTCTTTGGTTAACAGCTCCACTGTTTCTTTCCACACAGTCATATATCTAGTTCCAAGTATTTTCGAGTCAACCTTGTCAAGATTGATGCAGAGTAAGTACAGCTGAAAAATATGTGGTACCAAGTCTTATATGGGTTTTAACAGAAAATTCAGGAGACATTCATACCAATATTCCAGGATGTTATCATGTCGCCAGTTGACGGACGATTTTGGATCGCTAGCCAAACAATGAACGAGTATTTAGGCGTATAAGAGATGAACCATATACCTTTATACCAATTACAGATTGGTTTCACTTCCTGAGTAAGCATCCAAATTTCCTTAAAACTGAATTTCAGTTTATATTTATCAGCATGCTTCTAAACCATTGTTAAGAGAACGGATCACTTTATTCAATTAACAAAGGTGAAATACACGATTGACACTTCTGGAGACTCTCCACGAAGAATCAATCAACACAATTGCAGCACAAAGCACTCACAATCGTCCCAATTCTCAGAGAACAGACTCTCCTCGAACTCTTTTGATCCAATATCTGATAACCGTAAAAAAGAAATGTAACTTTGCTATTTATATTTTCTGTATAACAAACAATAAAGCATTCCACGTCATCAGTCTTTATTCTTCATTCTCCACCAATTCCTTGTCCAGCTCAGCTGTCTTCTTCCTAACGTAGACTCGTAATGGCTTAGCAATACCCCTCTCGGCAAAACGGAGCTTGTCCTCAAGCGATAGATGTAGAAATTGCTTAATCAAGTCTCCTGCTTTAACCCATGTTCTCTCATGATCCTCAAGACCGGTCCAGCTCACGAGTGCTTCCAAATGACCCTCCACATCATAACGAGTCTCCTTGATCTCATAGGGTTCAATAACTGATGTAAGCATCAATGCTTATATTAAGGAAAAACACAAAGGAGAGGAGGTAGAACCTGTTTTCTTGAAGATAAGAAGCAAGAGAGACTTGTAGCTGATTGCAAAGGAGCTAATGACTTTATATCAAAACGCCAGCATTCCATATGTCCAAGAGCACGTCTTGACCAAGCTAAACCATGTCCAGCTTCAATCAAAATAGAAGAGAATCACCCTAAACCACCATATCTACTTAAACCACCAAATGGAACATTATTGGAGCCGATTAAGGAAACTTGGGGAAGCAACACATTTCATTCGACCCACCCCTTTATTATATATCATCAGAAGACTTCAGAAGATATACAAGTCAATATGAAAGCCCGAAATCGGAGTTACTTGATTCAAACCAAGGGAGAACCGCCAAATTCAACAAATAAACCTACATATACATATTCGGAGCTATTCAAGGAAACAAGGAGCATAGCTTATACCAACATATCATTCACGCCTCCCTTGTGGTTTACAGAGTTTACCAAGATTCCTAAACCACCTGACCAAGCCAATAACCGAATCAAATCAGCTCAAACCAAAGAAGAAACTACCATGAAGACAGTTTCCATAAAAAGATTCATTAACTTTGTTTCTAATGGAAAGCAGGACCAACGACCAGATTATATCATTAATCTCAACCCTTCAGTCAAGCCACAAGATTCATCACGTCTCTACATCATAGAAGAGTCAAAGATCACATCATTTTCGTCCCCCAGATCAAGCCATCTCACAAATCAATCAAATTCCCTCCATTAAGCCAAATGGCTAGTCTTTCATCACACCATACTTTCAGCCTTTTTTAATATCTTATGCCCGTTTTATTCTTATTATTTTGAGCATTATATAAGCTCCAGCATTTGTATTTTCATAGCACCCAAGTTATAATCAAGAAAAGTTTTATTTGTTTTAAAGAAAGTTTATCTTTTTGAATCAAACTGTTCCTGCGAATTATCTTCTTGTGTTTGTGGAATCAAGCTTGAAAAATTTCGTGTAGAATCTAGTTATTCTTGTGAGGATTAGCCCTTGAAGAACTAGAGTCTAACCTTTGGTGTTTGAGGTCATCAACCACACCCTGACTTTTCATCATTCAAGTCATCCCTCCATCCCCTTAAACTAGAAGCAATGATTCTAAGAAGCATTACTTGAATCACATTTCGAGTATTGCATCAATAGTTAAGTCTTTCTCCAGGGAAAATGAAACTGTCAACTTCGAAACCTCATGATTATTGCCCAAAACCGGTTTCAATTGAGAGATGTGAAAGACCGGATGGATTTTTGAATCCTGATGTAGACGAAGTTTATATGCGACAGCTCTAACTCTAGCCAACACCTCAAACGGTCCATAATAATGCGCGGCTAATTTCTGATATAAGCGTCGAGACACAAATTGTTGTATATACAGCCGGAGCTTGAGAAATACCAAATCACCAACTCGAAACTCCAATTCCCGTCTTTGTTTGTCAGCATTATCTTTCATCCGTGCATGAGCTCTTACAAGATTCTCCTTGAGGTGAATCAACATAGCATCCCTCTCTCGCAACATCGACTCTAATTCAAAGTTGTTTGTGGAACCTGCTTCAAACTTCAACAAGTCTGGAGGTTCTCTGCCATACACCACCTTAAAAGGAGTCGTGCCTATAGCTGTATGATAACAAGTGTTGTACCACAGTTCAGCCCACGACAAATACTTACCCCATGACTTCGGATGTGAAGAAGCAAAGCATCTCAAGTACGTTTCGAGGCATCTGTTTAAAACCTCTGTTTGTCCGTCAGTTTGAGGATGAAAAGCAGTATTGTACTTCAACTGTGTACCCGCTTGTCTGAATAGTTCTTTCCAAAACGAGCTGAGAAAGATGTGATCCCTGTCTGACACAATTGACACCGGAAAACCATGCAACTTCACAATCTCGTTAATGAAATGTTGTGCTACCTCAGCTGCAGTAAATGGATGTTTAAGGCGGATAAAATGAGCATATTTACTCAGCCGATCAACAACCACAAAAATGACATTACCACCTTGAGATAACGGCAAGCCTTTGATGAAGTCCATTGATAAAGCTTCCCAAATCTTGTCAGGAATGGGCAGTGGCTGTAACAAACCCGCGAATGTTAGCGTGGAATATTTGTGTCATTGACAGACATCATTTTTCAGCCATATATCTCTAAATGTCTTTACCCATTTGTCTCCAATAAAACACACTTTTCACTCGCTTTATTATTTTCAAGCCTCCCGAGTGACCTCCCATAACCCCGTCATGATATTCTTTGAGGATCAACGGAATGTAGGTAGAATCTTTAGGAATGACCAACCGTCCTTTGTACATCAATTTCTCATTAGCCACTATGTAACCTTTCCCTGCGTCTGCACCTTCCAAAACCATTCTCTTTATCTCCTGAAGTTTTGTATTCCCATCGCACTCACGGAGGATATCTTGTAATTGTAAACTTGTAGGGACTGTTAAAGCTGTTAAGTCTGTTGAACTACAGCTCCCGGGTTCTGAGGCAATGCGAGATAACCCATCTGCTGCCTTGTTTTCTACACCCGGTTTATTGATGATATCAAAGTTATACCCTAACAACTTTGTAAGCCACTTCTGATAATCCATTGAAACTTTTCTCTGCTCCAACAGAAATTTCAAACTCTTCTGATCCGTATGCACCACAAACTTCCTTCCTAACAGATAATGTCGCCATTTCTGAATGGCCAAAACAATAGCCATTAGTTCTCGCTCATAAATGGGGCGTACTTGATCTCTATCTGAAAAGCCAGAACTGAAATATGCGATTGGTCGTTGTTGTTGCATCAACACTGCTCCCAACCCATACCCTGAAGCATCTGATTCAACCACAAAGAGCTCATCAAAGTTTGGCAAGGCTAGAACCGGAGCAGTTAACATCGCTTCTTTGAGAGTTTCAAACGCTTTTTGAGCTCTATCACACCATTTAAATTGATCCTTCTTTAAGAGATCTGTGAGTGGGTGAGCAATGGAACCATATCCTTTAACAAACTTTCTGTAATAGCCTGTTAATCCCAAGAATCCTCGGAGCTCCTTTACTGTCTTAGGAATTGGCCAATTACATATAGCCTCCGTCTTAACTGGATCAGTTGCTACGCCTTCACTGCAAATGACGTGACCCAAATACTCCACTTTCGGCTGTCCAACTAAACACTTCTTCTTGTTTGCAAACAGTTTAAGTTGTCCGAAGATCTCCATAACCGTTTCTAAGTGTTGACAATGCTCTGCCACGGAAGTGCTGAATATCATAATGTAAAAAAATACCAACACAAACTGTCTTAAAAAACGGTCAGAATAGTTCATTCATTAGAGCCTGAAACGTTGCCGAAGCATTCGTTAAGCCGAAAGGCATAACTAGGAATTCATAGTGACCATTAAGAGTTTTGAAAGCAGTCTTTTCAATATCCCTTTCGAACATCCTTATTTGGTGATATCCTGCTCTTAAGTCCAGCTTGGAGAAAATCTGAGCTCCGTGTAACTCATCCAAAAGCTGATCAATGACTGGAATAGGGAACTTATCTGGTATTGTTACCTTGTTCAAGGCTCTGTAATCGATGCAAAATCTCCAACTTGCATCCTTCTTCTTTACTAACAAGATTGGACTGGAGTAAGAGCTTCGGCTTAGCCTTGTTGTACCCACTTCAAGCATTTGAGAAACTAACTTCTCCATCTCTTATTTGTATGCATGAGGGTAGTGATAGGGTCTGACACTTATTGGTCCAGCGCCGGGTATAAGATTAATAGCATGTTCCCTCTCCCTTAAAGGCGGCAGCTGAGTAGGTTCATCAAACACGTTCTTGAACCCGTCCAATAATTGTTGGATTTGCTCAGGGATGACAAGGATTTTCACACTTGGTGTTGCGTGAAATAGTTCCAAGTCGAACCCACATTGTTGAGCCCAATCCGCTTTTTCCAACGCTTCGAGAGAGTTTCCACCTTGCATCAAAGTTGTATCTCCTCGTAGAATTACTCGTTGGCCTTGATACATGAATGAGTACTCATGATTATCCCAATCCATCTCACACTTCCCCAATGTTCTCAACCACTTAACTTCCACTATGATGTCCATCTTCCCAATTTTTCTCCACAGTTTTGTTGTACATGGAGAATCAAGTCCCAAAAATGAGAAGAAGGACAACTCCATCAACTCTGTTACTTCTTCGTCATAGTTTTCCTCTCCCTCAGGCTCTGATAAATCCACTTCACAGCCATTGATCACAGTACACACCTGGAGTTCCATGTTCATGCACTTATTCATGAACATTTTTTCGGGCATTTGTAGCATAACCCTAGTCTTCTTCTCTCTGCATACTCTGCCGGACTGAGTTTAATTTTATTAGAAGATTGCCCTGCAACCGGATTTTTCCACAGTTGTTTGTCATTTGGGTGTGTAGTAGCTGCAATCCCGAGCACACGCAATGGAGCCGTAGACAGTCAAGTGAAACCCAATCCACGAAATAATTTGATCTATGGGCAGCATTGTTTTGATCCGAGTTTTTAAAAGTTGCTCTTGAGCCCTCAGATTGTGATGTTGGAGATTGCCACGCTCTTTGTGAGTTGTAAGCTGAAGAACTTTTCAACGGTACAAACGTGGAGGTACGTTTTGTATTATTGACATTCTAAGCTTCTGCCATCGATTTACAAAACACACTGTCTGCCATAGATACCACGGCCTCAAAATGTGCTGTCAAACCTTGAGGTTTCTTCATCTTCACTACCTCCTGCATCTCAGGCTTCAACCCAATGTAAAAAACGTGTTCCAAGTTTGCTTCATCCACTCCTTTAACAATGATAGACAATTTCTCAAACTTGTTGACATAGTCGATGATTGACCATGTCTGCTTCATACTGAATAACCGTTTCCCAGGATTCTCTTCGATTCTCAGACTGAATCGAACAATCATCCGTCGCTTAAACTGTGCCCAATCTGTGAAAGGATCCTGCTCGCTCTCTCTGTTGAACCAATTCAGAGCTGGACCTTGAGGACTCATAGACAATCAATAGAGACGGTCAACATCCGTGTAATTTTCCAGATGGAAAAGTCTCTCTGCCATGGTTATCCAACCATACGGACTTGTGCCGTCAAGTATCGGCAACTCGATCTTCTTCAATAAATCAGATCTATTCTCCAGGACATTACTAATTCCCCGATAACATAATTGAGCGTTCACCGGATCATTCTCGTTAGCAGATGGACTAACCTCATTAGCTGTGCCTGAAGACATTGCAATCGACTTCCCTTGAGATTTATCCGTGAACTGGTTTGCTTCGATTCGCGCTAAGGTTTGCGACATCAACATCATAGTTTTATCCATTGCATCGAAGCGCTTATCCATTATATTCAACCGACCGGTGATTTCTGAATGTCCTGCCGTCAATCTTTCCCAACCACCACGAATCGCGTCTACTTGTTGATTTAGTTCCTCCATATTTCCTTGCATCTCCTTCACTCGCGTCATCTCTGAATTCCGCGCATCGATTTGCTCACCGCACCAATTTATTAAAAGAACAGATCACTTTATTCAATTAACAAATGTGAAATACTCGATTTACACTTATGGAGACTCTCCACAAAAAATCAATCAACACAATTGCAGCACAAATCGCTCACAATCGTCCCAATTCTCAAAGAACAGACTCTCCTCGAACTTGTTTATTCCAATATGTAAAAAAAAAATGTAACTTTGCTATTTATATTTTCTGTATAACAAACAATAAAGCCTTCCACGTCATCAGTCTTTATTCTTCATTCTCCACCAACCCCTTGTCCAGCTCAGCTGTCTTCTTCCTAACGTAGACTCGTGATGGCTTAGGAAGCACTTGATACTCTGATTGCAGATCCACTCGACTTCGAAGGGAGTCAATTTCATCTTCAATCTTATTCAACAAATCCACTAGTCGTCTCCTTCTGTCCATTTGTCAAACCAGAATGATGTATTGGCTTGTTATAAATCATCATCAGTGTAAGTGTTTTCGCTAAATCTCTATATTTTAAGACTTTTTCCATATCTGGGATTCTAGAGTTGACGATGTCCCTACGAACCAGAAAAAACCCTCCGAAATGAGATACATTGTAATAAAAGATCTTTGGAAGAAAAGAAAATCAGAGTTATAAAACTATATTTGTTATGGGCAAAACAATGCCTTAAACCGTTTTAGACCGGTCGACTCCGTTAAAACCTAGGGCATGTAGAACTAGATTGAAGGGAAAAAATGATAAGTGAAATTATACTCAATAGAATTATTTTATTAACACTAAAACGAATTCAATGTTCAATCAAACAAAGAATCCGAACAAACCTTAAGAAAACTCAAAAAGCAAATAAAGTTGAAACTGAAATATGGAACTTCATGTCATAGAAACAAAAGGTACATCCATAAATATTAACCTTTTAAAAGTAACAATAATTTATTGTATCAATGAAACCAAACTAAGAAACGGGATGAAGCTTATGATTCTTTATATATACATGAAACCCAGCAGCTGCATAAACAACAACATTAAAAGCATATGATAAATCCCTTCAGAGATCTCTCGCTCATTCATGTTAGAGTCCTCACTGAAGAAGCAAATGTACACTGTATCCATCATCTCTTCACACAATGTTCTTCCTGCTCTGTGACCAGAACGGTGTCGCCGGTTTGCGCTTCAAAGCCTTAACACTCAACGAACTGTTCTTCTTCTGCAAGTGACAGAAATTCCCAAAATAATTATGTGAGTTTCAAGCGTTACCATTAATAGTTTGTTCTTGAAAAAAGGGAGAATCAAGGACTTACCATTAAACAGGTTCCTTGTTCAAGATCACAAACCGGATATTCATGAGGACAGCAACTATAGTTGTCATCACAACAAGTGGCTCCTTCAAGTGGGCAGCATCCCCAAGCAAAGCAATACTTGCCATACTCAAAGAGACAGCAACAAGTGTCGGTGTCAGGACATGTATAGTAACTATCACATTGGGTCGGTGGTTTGATGGGAGATGGTGGTGAAGGTCCCGGGTTTGGTGGGTTTTGACCATTCTTGATCGGGTAGGATGGTTCGACGGCAATTCCACATTTACCTGATGAAGCAGCGATGTTACGCTCCATTCTTATGTATCCGCTTTCTCCCCAGCTTGATCCCCATGAGTTTTTAACGACCCAGTAGTCTTTGCCGTTCTCAGATCCGTATCCGACCGCTAAAACTCCGTGGTCAAGTTGTGTTCCACAGATTCCATCGAATATACCCTTCAAAAGTAAAAGAATACATCAGCGTATGAACATTTTGAGACCTGAATGGTTAAAAAGCTACTTCATATTCAACCAAATTTATGAATTGTTTCATGCGCTTATATGTGAATAAAACTTCACATTTACAAAAAAAAAAAAAATTATAGGATTTATAAGATCCTGACGAAATACTTTTTGTAAAGTGTAAACGTAAATGCCAAACAGAGTTTCTTCACTGTTTTTATTTGGCATTTTGTAATTCACAAAAAAATAAACACATTTTTAAGTTTTACTTTAAAACATTTTTGTAAAGCGTAAACGTAAACGCAAAACACAGTTTCTCCTTCCATGTTGAATTTGACATTTACGAAAAACAAAAGAATTGAAAACACAAAAGTTATGAATTTATTTAGATAAAAGTAACATGCAATTTCAGGCAATCATTAAACTTTTAAGAACTTTGTTAACATGGTTAAATTCATACCAATTTACACTATCATTAAACTCCTAAGAACTTTATAAACATGGTTAAATCTATACCGAATCATAGAGCTGGAACGCACGACCACCACCTTCAATGGCTACGGCAATGGGTTGTTTAGAAAGTGCTTTCTTCAAAGATTCTTCACTGTTAGCTGGCACATCCTCGTATGAATCGATTGTGACAACTTTAGCGTTTTTCTGCAACAAGAAACCCACAAAATGTAATATAAGAATCAATCACAAGTTGTTAAGAATCGAAATGTAGTTCCTGATCAAAAAAAAAACTAATGTTCTAACTCTGTTTTGGTCACAACGTCCATCAACAGCTTTGTAAGGATAATCCTCCTCTGTGTCGATACCACCATTGTTAATGATGAACTCAAATGCATAGTCCATGAGACCTCCGTTACAACCTTCATTGTATGAAGTGTCACAATCGACCAATTCTTGCTCAGACAAGGATATTAAGTCTCCGGTCACAATCTTGTTTATGCCTTCCACTGCTCCGATGGTTGAGAACGCCCAACAACTCCCTCCATTTGGTAAAAGAAAAAAAGAAATTAGTTAATATATAAACATCAAACAGAAAAGTATCATACCTACTAATATTAATGTTTTTAATGAGAATAGACAATCACCTACCAACCAATTCGAGATTTTGTGCAAATTCTAATATAATTATGGCTAAGAAAGTTAATGATTTATAAATTAGCCTTAACAAAATACTATAAACAAAATGAATAACTTTCAGACTCCACATTTGGACTAGATTCTAGGATATATGCGTTCAAAACAATTGTAATAAAAAACTCTCTCTCTCCCTTTCATCATAAATATCGTTTTAACTCTTCATTTGTTTTAGAAAAGTGTAATTTTGTATTTTTATTGTAAAATGTAAAACAAAATTCTAGTTTTATCTTATACTTCAGTCCTTCACACCTGATGATTTACTAAATTATTAGTCTTCCTTTCCTTTTTTTTGTTTAATGAAGTGTTACTCATTCATTACACTTACATTTTATGATACTGAGCTTTGTTTAGGGGTAAATATGTACTTTTCCACAAGTTCTAATACTTTTTAGAAATAATCAGACAGATAAATATATTTGCCGTCAAACAGAAAAATCAGACAGATATATTTCCTTTCCCAAAGATATATGATGAAATAGCTATTTTATTTTCATCATCTAAAGAAAAAATTTTAAAAATCAATACAACAATAACACTCAAGTCTCTTCATAAGATGACACATCAGCTTTTTCAAGCTTTTTAAAATTGACACCTCAGCAAAAAAAAACTCCAATCAAAACATTTTATTAATACACATCATCTACTAACTTTTATTATTTTTAACGTAAACCCATTAAAAACCTAAATATTTTTTTTGTTAATTTTTGTTCTATTTTTTGTCAAATCCAAGTCCAAATAATAAATAACAGCAAATAAAAAAATTGTTATATTTTTACCATCTCCAAAACCAAATAATAAATAACAAAAAATAAATAAATCTTTGTTATATATTTTTGCTAAACCGAAACTCAAATAATAAATAACAGCAAAAAAAAAAATTCTAACTATGTGTTTGCTTGATAGAGACATATATGATTGAAGAAAGTGTAGACTCATTATCAACTATACTTCCATAACAACAACGCAAAAAGTGTTATGTTATAAGAAGCTCACACATCAGCAAAAATTTGAATCAATTAAAATATAACAATAATACATATCATTAACACATTAATAAAATCAGTTTACTATTTTGCTGACCCATTAAAAAACCCAAAGTTTACAAAAAAATTAAAGTCGAAAGCAAATGAGGAGAAGCTTAGACCACCACAACTTAGAGATTCGCATTTCTGGTGGTTATCGAGAACAAATTTTCTTGGGTTTGGTGGGAATAGCGAATTTCTTGGTTTCGGTAGGAAAAATATGAATTTCAGTTTTGGTAGAAAAACATAATTTCTCGATTATGGCGAAAAAATGAATTCCCAGGTTTGGCGGAAAAATATGATTTTTTGGTTTTGATGATAAAAAAAATTTGATTTTGACTCGAAACAAAATATCTTAGTTTTGACGAGAAAATACGAGGGAAATGCAACTTTTCAATTCTGACGAAAAATAAGATTTCTCGGTTTTGATAGGAAATGCAAATTTTCGGCTTTTGATGGATAATGTGATTTCTTGATTTTCGCCGGAAAATGTGATTTCTTAGTTTTCGCGGAAAATTGTAATTTGACAATTATGACGGAAAATGTAATTTCTCAGTTTGATGGGAAAACAAAATTTCTCGATTTTGGCGGGAATAAACAATTTCTCGGTTTTGATGGAAAATGCAAAATTTTATTTTTTGACATATAATGTGATTTTTTAGTTTTTCCGGGAAAATGCGATTTTTTTTTTATTTTTCGTGGGAAACACAATTTCTCAGGAGATAATGCAATTTTTGGTTTTCGCGGGTAATTGTGGTTTATCGGTTTTGGTAGGAAGACGTGACTCTTGGTTTGACGAGAAAAATACTTTTTTTTTGTTTTGGCAGGAATATACGATTTCTCGATTTTTGCAAAAAAATATTTTTTTCGGTTTTGACGGGAAAACACAATTTTTTTGGTTTTTGTAGGAAGATGAAATTTTTTAATTTTGGTGAAAAAACTTGCTTTCTCCGTTTTTGCGTGAAAACACATGTTCTTGCGGAAAAATGTGATTTTTTGGGTTTTGCGGAAATATGCAATTTCTTTGTTTTGGTAGAAAAATAAAATTTCAGGTTTGACGAGAAAATGAATTTTTTGGTTTTGGCGGGAATAGACGATTTCTCAGTTTCGTGGGAAAATGTAATCTTTTTATTTTGTCGAAAAATGTAATTTCTCAGCTTTTGTAAAAAGATAAAATTTCTTTGTGCTAAATTTTCAAGTTACAATATGTTTATAGTAACCAAAATTGAATTATTTAACTTCAACTAAATTAATATTTCAACAGTTCAAACAGAACTTTCTATTTAGTTCTTAAGCAATAGTAATGGTTTTGATATGAATGATATTGATTATAGTTTGGTAGTTTTAGAAACATATGTTTATAATAAATATTTGATAAATAAATAAATTTTATAATACAAAATAATCATATTAATTAATAATTATTTTTCTTAAATGGTAATTTGATTTATATAATTTCAAAGGAGGATTAAGTGGTAATTTAGTAGAAAAAATAAATTACATTTGCCATTAGTATGAAGATATTTAAAAATGTATTGTTTTATTCTTACGTATACATTTATAGATTGTTAGCTAAACAATTTTAATAGTAGATTATAATTTTGAAAAATTAAAAAATTAAAAAAATATAATATTTATTTAGATTTAAAACATATAAATACATAACTTAAGTTAATAAAAAAATATAATATAATATTTATTTACATTATAAAAATAATTTTATTATATTAAAAAGATATATAAAATCTAGAAAAATATTCCGCACCATAGCGCGGATAAATACCTAGTCTAAATAACCAGTAAAAATTCAACAACTATAACATGATAGATCGAGAGAAAAAACTTACCGCAGCTTCCCTGATCTTTGACCTCAGCCACGGCTCCTTCCTTCCTCCAGTCAACGCTCTCCGGTACCGCGTCACCGACACGCGCCTCGTATAGTTGGCTTGTCTTCCTCTCTCCCTTCTTCTGCATCTTAGCTCCGAGGTACATGGATCTGTACTCATCGTTAGTGAGATCGGCGAACTTCGTAAGACCTAATCTGTAGCTTAGATTCTTGCTGTTGTGATCGTCGATAAAACGGAGATTGTCTTTAAAGATCTCGAACCGTCGATCTTTCTCAACAAGAGAGTTCTGAACCTTCCCGTGTTTCACTAGCCACGTCTCGTAGAGTCTCATAACCTCGGCGTCGCTCCGGCCGCCGACGGTGTGGTGGCTCTCGTCGTAGGAGATGATTGACATGTCCATCGCCGATGAGACGGCGATCATTGTTAGGAAGAGGATTGCCATAGTTGGATTAAGGAACTTCATATTTTTTGTTTTCTTGGAGAAGAAGAAGAAGAGAAGATGATAAAGAAGAATAAGATTTTTGGACGATGAACAAGAGATGGTGGTGGGGTATTTTATATAAAGCCAAATGAGATAAGTGTAATACTTTTATTAGTTTTTATATTTTTTCTCAAGAGGAAAATATAATTTATTTGGGTTTTCTATTTTTGCTGTTTTTGTTGGTCATTTCTTCTTTATTTCTAAAATAATGGTGACTAGTTCCCAATTTTCACTAAAATGTTCAATCTATATAGGAAATCCAAAATAATCTGTTCTGAAAGCGAAACAAACAATCTGGTATGTACATTCAACAAGTTGAACCACAAACTGAACCGAGCAAACCAAATACGGGGTATAGAACTTTAAAAATAAAATACAGTACTAGAAAAAGCGAAAGGAAATAAAAATCAAACAATGATAAGATGTTTTACTTTATGGTGGTATCATTTTTAGATTAGCAAGAGGTTTTAAGGCAACTTTCATAATTTTCCTAATTCTAATGTAATTTCGTCTCAGTCGTCACTCTATATAGATTTTTTTATAACTTATTTTTTCAGTTGAACTAACAACATTTATTATTTTAGTTATCATTTTTTAAAACAAAAAAAAATCGTCTAAAACCAAAAATTCTAAACCGAAATTATTTGGGTTTGTTCAGGTATATTGAATTGAACACTTCATTTGCTATATGGTACTCGATCTCTAGAGATAATAGACTTATACGGAAGATTTTTGTGAGTCAATTATTGGTTAAGACAAAAACCTTTATATTGTGTGAGTCAATTATTGGTTAAGAAAAAATATGGGAAGGAAGAAATGAGACGTCAAGAGGCTGAGATCTCTAACTTAATTGGCAAACCCAAAATGTCATGTCCACACAAATAGGAGCGCGTGAGATTCTTAAGCATTACAACAGCGCGTGGATAGGATTGTGGGAGATTCTTCTGATAATAGATTAAAGTAGATGCTATGGATCTAAAGTCTAACAAGTTACACCAATAAGAAATCATATTTGCAGTCTCTCTATTATTATGATTCCTTCCATATTCAAAACACTCAAATAGTTATCGGCTAAATGGATACTTCAATTTATTTAGTTTACTCAACTTATTTAATAAAATGCTTTGAAGAGTTAGCTTATGACGTTACAACACTCCCCTTACTTTTCTTTGTTTTCTATTTATTTGAAATAGTATTCCAACAGATATGCATTCTCTTGCTCAAAAATTTAAAAATTTATCGCAATCGTACATAAAATTATTTAAAAAGTAGAAAGAGATAGAAGAAGTTTAATTTAGGGATGGGCAAAATATACGTTAGATCCGCTTCGAACCGGTATTTGCTTCGAATCGTAATCCGGATATCCGTAAAATTTCGAAGCAAAACAAATAGTAAAAAAGTATCCGTATAAAACAAAGCAAATCACAAATATATTTTTAGATAATATCGTATATCCGCTCTAATCCGTATTTTTATAAATTTATTATATATTAGTATATTTTACCATCTATATATCTATTATAATAGAAAATTTTGTTTTATCTTTATTGCTGTGCTATCAATTTTCTTTTTAAATTTTTAGTTGTTTTTGATTCTTTTGATTATATAAAATTGATGACTAAATAAATAATATAAATAAATAAATAATATGTTTTAAAAGTTAAAATATGTTAATAAATAATATTTATTTTATATTTGTTAATAAATATTAACAAAAGTTTTTCTAATAAAGTTTAATATTAGAGTTTAAGAAGTTATTCGGGAGTAAATTTCGAGATGCTATGTGGAGGGTCTTGATTCGTCAGGGGTGGAGCCGGGTCTCCGAGTTTCGTCCCCTGGGGGAAAGGTGATGAACCGTCATTCCGGGGCGAAAGCTTCCTGTCGCGACGCGGCGGGGCGTGCACCGTACTCGATCCTGCAAACACTTAAGCAAACATTTAACGAGCCTTCAGGAAGGACCGAAAGGGGGTTTCCCTCCTGAAGGTTCTCTGATGCCCAACTTAATGAACGTCCTACCGGGAACAAGTACTCGGGGGGGGGGGGGATTGTCTATGGGTTAAGCGTGAGAAGGCTCGTCCGAGGATCGAGGCTCCTATCTGGTTTAGAGTGTTTCAAGAGGGGTTTCTACTGCCCCGGTACAGTATGCGGGAGTGGGTCGGCCGAGCTAGTGTGGCGTGTGTCAGTAATCGATGTAGCTTAGACCTACATGGCGAGTCCTCATTCGATCCGGTTAAATAGGTCCAAACAGAAGTTAATATTATTTTTAAATATAAAATATCATTTTTTCTTTTTTATTCATTTTAATTTTGTAGTTTTATTTTTTTTATTTATTTTTTTATTTTTTATCTTTCACTTAATAATTTAGATGAATTTTTTTTTTTAAGGAGCATGATGTTGCCTTCCTGTTCTTGAAGTCATCATCATTTGAGAGAAGCCGAGATGCACTCAAGGCAACATGATGCTTTTCTGTCGATCTCCTGCTCGCAAACTGAACCAAAAAGGGGTTCTCGGGCAGCAGATCATGGGCTTCAACTTGAAACTGGTTCAAGTCATTTGCTTGCTGATTCAGCTAAGCTCGAATGCTTTTATTGGATGTCTTCTTGAGGCTGGGTATTTTTGACTGGTAGACTCAACATTCTTCGATATTTTACAGATGCTCGTCTATGGGCTTAATAGGATAAGCTGGCGAGCTGTAATTGTAGTCGGCAGCTCGTTTATGAACTGAAACAAGACTTTGGATCGTGTTTTCAAGTACGCCAGCTGATGAGCGGCTGTTAGCCAATGCATGTTATCGTTTTTTATTTTAAGGTTCGTCAACAACCTGAAACAGAGCCGGGTAGCTCATTTTTGTTAGGACGTGGTGAACCATACAACTTTAATTTGTTCCTTGGCTGAGATGGAACTGGATGTCGATCAACAATTGGTGAATAAAAGCGTGAGCTATGAGCTTGTGAGTTAGCGAGCTAGATTGTGAGTCACGAGCTCACTTTGTTTTTTTGGCTGAAGCAGATCTGGAGCTTGTCCGCATACTGGTGAACTATTATGTGACTTGCGAGTCGTAGCTCCAGAGGGAGAGTATGCTAGTCTTTTGAATACCAGAAGCTCGAAAGTTCAAAGTTTCCATTGGAAAGCCTTGATTGATTCTATCTGTTTAGGGGTAGTAGTCCCCACACCCTCCCGACAAAATCGTAAGCCTTGAAGGCGTTGGCATAATGTCTTTCTTGGGGCATGTGCTTTCGGTTTTGTTTTCCCGGTGTACTCAGGGAACTTGATCTTTCTGGTGTCGCAAAGGCTAGCATTTGCTATTTTTGCGAAAAGAGCCTTTGATGTGTCTCCTCGAATGCAAGGTTAATATCTGGCGCGGAACTCGTAGCGATGTGCATGGATGCTCTCATCTGGCGGAGCTCCGCGTTTCACATTGAGATCTGTCTCTGGACATACTCAAGATCTGTTATGTTTCAAGGGTCGATGTGATAAGAATCCTCCGCGGGCTATTGTCTGTTCGTGACTAAAGCTCGAGAAAATTTTCTCGAGCTGCAGCTCGTACGACTTTGGCTCGATTCTTGTTTAGAGCTATTGCTCCCCTGGAGCTCGGATCGATTGGGTTGTTAGGCCCGAGCTGCGAGGTGAGAGACATGGTTTGCTGCCTTCCAGCCTCAGGGTTATGAATGCTTGAGAGAAGTCAAGACACGCTAGGTGGTAACAGACTTTTCTCTGGATATGTTGTTTAGTTTGTTCACAACTGGTTTCTTGAATTTGGCTTGACTTAAGTGATTTTCTGTATTCTTGGTGTCTTAAGAACTCAGATGGATTGATACCTTACATGCTGCAATGACATGAGTGTGTTAGGATTTGCTTGGCTAGTAATATCCAGCTATAAAATTGGCGCCGTTGCCAATAACTTTGAGATCAAATCTGGATTGATCTCAATGGTTCAAGGCAGCAAGTTACATGGGCTACCACTTGAAGACCCTCTGGATCACTTGGATAACTTTGATAGACTCTGCTCACTAAACAAGATCAATGGGGTGAATAAAGATGGTTTTAAGCTAAGGTTGTTCCCTTTCTCTCTTGGCGATAAAGCACACCAATGGGAGAAAAACTTGCCTTAAGGAAGTATCACTAGTTGGGATGAGTGCAAGAGAGCCTTTTTAGCAAAGTTCTTCTCTACCTCAAGGACTGCTAGGATCAGGAATGAGATCTTTGGTTTTGCTCAAAAGAATAGCGAGAGTTTTGGTGAAGCATGGGAGAGATTCAAAGGGTACACACTTCAGTGCCCTCACCATGGATTCTCACAAGCTTCACTCCTCTCAACCGTATACAGAGGCTCTCTCCCCAAGAACAGGATGCTACTTGATACTGTCTCAAATGGAAACTTCCTATCTAAGGATGTAGATGAAGGCCTAGAGCTTGTGGAGAACTTAGCCCAAAGTGATGGCAATTATAGTGAAGACTATGATAGAACTCCAAGAGGAGAGGATGACAACACTAAGAAGGAGCTGGAGTCTACAAGAAGAGAGTTGAAAGAGCTGAACACTAGGCTTGACAAACTGCTCCAAGTGCAACACAAAGAGATCAATTATGTTGGTGAAATGGTGGAGATGCCTAATGAAGAGGAGCTACAAGTAGAGGAGATGAACTACTTGGGTAATCAAGGTGGATACAGTGGGTATGGGAACTTCAGACCTAACTCAAACCTGTCCTACAGGAGCAACACTGTTGCCAATCCCCAAGATCAAGTTTACACTCAACAGCAACCTCAAGAAAATCAACCAAGGCCTTTTGCGCCATTCAACCAAGGATATGCACCAAGGAACAACTTTCAAAGCAACTTCCAGCAAAAGCAGTTTGCTCCTCCTGGATTCTCTCAAGGTCAAGCAAGCTCATCCAACACCAATGATGCTGAAGTGAAAGGACTGCTGCCATAACTCGTTCAAGGC